TTGTTTCCATCATTAATGTGGTGTCACTTCTTATCCAAAAAGGAACTAAAACTATGTATTGATGCCAAACCACATATGAAACCACACAACTACTTTTTGTTTTTAAAACTGTAAAGATATATTTAACTCATTATGATTTTGGTTAACGCCTGACGTTAAACCCTACTTAATTTTATTGTAATTGAATATTATGGCTTACAATAGTTTCCAATTTCAGGCCATAAAGATCTTTTGTATAGTTAGTTTCAATATCATTATAGTAAATTTATCATAGTGACACGACCATTGGCATTTAACCAAAAAAACTTCTTTGCGTGTGCGTGCTTTTTTGTTGTTGTTGAGGGAGGGGGCATGTGCATGGATGCTTGCTTTAAGTTTGCTAGAACTTAACCTCGGAAATTCATACTTACTCTATCAAGAATGGATGTTAATTAACAGTGTTACTTTATTGTCAATACAGGATAAAACTGAAAGTAAAGTAACAGTGTTATAGGTGATTATAGTTAACTTTATTTTTTAACTAATAAAAATTACTGCTACTTTGAAGACCATATCTCAATCCTATTTATCATCAATCTTTAATAAATACACCCCGCTGAACTTTCAATACTGTAACATGTATGATTAAAATATCTGACCAAACTTTATTTAGGAACCATTTCAATCTTTTAATAGAAGTCGTTTTAACATAAAATTTTTCAAAGATGGACCTCAGGATAGAAAACACGGTTTTCTGTGACATTTAATGGCAATTCTGAGCTCACTACTAACTCCGGTTTTGGTGGTAATCAGTTTTAGTCTTGAACATAAGACTAGCTTACGCATCAGTGCTCTTGAATTTAATACTTACCCCTCCCCCTCTTAAGAGACGTCCATTGATAATTCTCACAGTAGTATTTTGCTTCAGTGGCATTCATTATTAATAATAATAAATTTAGTACTTATTCATAATTCAACGAACTTAGTATTTATTACGGTCTCATTAGCATTCAACAATAATCTTGAGCTTAGTACCAACATTCGTTACAGTGAACTTCATGTAATATTAACTTTAACAACAGTATTCTAGAAAAAGATGGTAACATTATCTTCAGTAATATTCAGTAATAATTCAGAATTTCGCATTAAATCATGTTTGTGTAACTATCACTTATAATTCTAGGCTTGCTGATAGTTCCAGCTGCAGTAATAATCATTATTATTCAGGGATTCAGTATCAACTCCCGCCTCAATTATATTCAATAACGATTAGTTTTGAGTGATTAATCATAATTTCGATTAGGTTTTGATTATTAAAATAAACATCAGTGTCGAATTTATACGATTACTTAATAGCTATTTTGATTCGATTGGTGTATAAAAACTAAACACGGTTTGCATGCTCACTCACAAAGAAGCATCAGAACCATTGCTCTCATCGTTATCTTATCTCGCATCTACAGGGCTTACAAGAAAAACAACAACATTCTTGATGTTACTCTATGCACTAAAAAATAAGAAATGATAAATCAATACGTTAAGTTATTGGACTTTCGTATGGTATTCTCTATTCGATCACCTCTAAACCAACATCTTTTATCGACACGCTATTTATTTTTTAAATGATCTAACTAGAATAATCGATAACCGTAATCGTAATCGGGATTATTTACAGTTATCCATTCAATAATCGAATCGAATTACAAAAGTGATAACTGCTAAGCACTAATAAAGATATTTTATTGATCTCACCAGCATGTATTTGTATGTATATATGTGTGTGCGGTATCTAGGCAAACCATACATGTTCTACGTTTCCATTTTAATTTAGGAACATTTGAAAAACCTTTATGTATGCAGGTGTACGTGCAGTTTCCACATAACATAAAGTCGTTCAGTTACTGCTGCTGTAACTGCCTTTTGTTTCATGTCATCTATGTGAAGTAACATATTTTTTTGTCTTTCTGTAGAAAAGATAGCTGTATGTATAATATATGAAGTTAAACAACCATTTTTTCTATTGGCAGTCAGGTGATACCTTGAGCTTGTGACCTCAATTATGTTTCGATGGGAAAGACCAGTCACGTGAGTTAGCGCAAGCCACACCAGGTAAGTTTCCGTTACCAACTTAACTAACACAGATATCTTGGCAACTGTTACCCCCCAAAACGCCTGGAATAAAATACATTAAAAAGTATTTTATTTTCCATAGTAAATAAGTTTTGTACAAGTTTTATCAAAAAATCGATAAAAAAGTAATTGGATGGAGGTTGGATTCGAATCCTTAACTTTTACAAGAAAAGCCCTCGGCTTTCATCGACGGACCATATTGGGGTTACTTGAAATGAAGGTGCATATTTGCATGCTTACTGATGAAAGTTCCTATCTTTGAGGTCTAAACTCTCCGCGAAACCACTATATTTGGAAAAAAATATTTTTGGATTTGATGAAATATCATTCCGGGCATTTTGGGTTATGAAAGTAGCCGAGGTATCTGTGTAAGTAATGAAATTCTGATTAAGCCTGGAACAAATCTTGAGAGAGAACCAATTTGAATCTTACTCTTCAGTAAATAAAGCACACTTTGTGTTTGAATAATGCAGATTGTTCGCTGTGTTTTAATACTATTGTGCTCAGTATATCATTTTTCCCCATGAATATCTTGATCGAATATTATATTATCCTGCAAACCTATCTTATTCACTCTTGGGAAAAATTGTTTTTATCTTATTTTATGAGAATACCAAATACGGTAATGGTAAGAGCCCAACAATCAGCTTATATCTATATTGGTTGGTTTCTTTTATCCATAAATGAATTCACTAAACATATATTACAGATTGTACTTTTTCTGGTCTATATTAGAAAATCCGTATTGTACGTACGTTCTGAAATTGAAGCTATATATAAAATATTGAATAAAAACTTATGTTCGGGAAGATCTTAAAAAGTAAGCCATGGTTTACGATAATGTGATGAATAGTAGATACTTTGAATACCAAAATATCACTATATTGCATATAAGCAAACTATTAAAAACAGATCGGAACAGAGACTTTAAAGTTTTTAAAATACAGAATAAAAATATATTAAAACTGTTAGTTACTGTCGTAGCTCCGTCGGGGATTCACTACAATTCTGTTTCGAGTTTGTGTTCAGTATTTTATCCTTGGTTTTGAGGAATAAAAAGTAACTTTGTTTCATAATGCTGATTGGTTTTTCTCAATAACCCCACCTATGCACTGAGTATATACATTTGTATTATATTATAATTAAATAACCAAAGCTTCTGTTTCATCTTTGTGCGGCCCGGCATGGCCAGGTGGTTAAGGCACTCGACTCGCAATCTGAAGATCGCGGGTTCGAATCCCTGTCACACCAAACATGCCGTGGGGGCGTTATAATGTGACGGTCAATCCCACTATTCGTTAGTAAAATAGTAGCCCAAGAGTTGGCGGTGGGTGGTGATGACTAGCTGCCTTCCCTCTAGTCTTACACTGCTAAATTAGGGACGGCTAGCGCAGATAGCCCTCGTGTAGCTTTGCGCGAAATTCAAAACAAAAAACAATCATCTTTGTGTGATATCTAAGCACTTTGCATCGCATTAACTTTAAACTGGAAAGGACCTTTCATGTTTATTGGACTATAATCTGAAAATGTTTTCCATACTGAACTGAAGCGTGCTTTAAAGAATTCGAAGCATATAATGAAAAAAAAAAAACTTAAAATGAGGAAAAGGTAGTTTTTCTCAGACTGTATATTATAAATAAACTTTGAAAAATACAACTTACTTATTTTATTAATGAAACTTTATTGATTAAGATGCGTAACACCAAACATCAGTACAAATAGAAATATATAATCTATATTGTATTTTAAATTGTATTTTTTAAAATAAATAACCGTCTTAAATGAACGTTCAGGGATCTGTTTTCAGTTTAGAATTCCTAGTCTTGCAACATAATTTTCACGCATTTCTTAACTATTGCAATAAAATAACGTAAAACTTTAACTGCAATCTAATAACTATATTGTTAAAAATAATCGTACCTTTATATTTCTTGGAATTAAACAAACAAACAAAAAACCATTGCTACTGTTAGAGTCTAATAGAGAGAGAGACTTTTACTCTTTATTAACACGTACAATGAAAGAGTGTGAGATGAGTTGCTAATACATGAAAATTGAACAGAATCCAAAGTTTAAGTTTAAAAAAATCAGTGTTTAATCTTCATATGGAGCACGCTTTAAATTTAAAACGAACAGTATCTGAAACGTTTTAGTTTTTCACAAACAAAAAGCACCAATTTCTTTATCTTTTTTAATCACATGTCTGAACGAAAAGTTCCATTATGATTTACATTCGTAATTTACTATTTAAGTTTTTCAGAACTTTAAGTTTGTGATAAAATAGTGAAAATAAGTATACTTGCAGACTAGATGTTTAATGTATACTTGCAGACTAGATGTTTAATGATCCATGAGTTTGTTGTTATACATCTGGTTACTTCATTTCGCATTGTCGGAAAGGCAATAAGCTCGTGCAATTGTATAAAAGTCGCTTTATTTGGTTTACAGTCTACCATCTTAGTTCCATCACCGCATTTACTCAACTTGAGTAAGGAAGCACATTATGCTAATATAATAATAGGTAGGCAAACAACGGTTTATAAACATAAGGAAGAGTATTATTGATGTTGGAATATACTACATGTTCTACTATCAATAAAACACTTCCTTATTCATATTACTGTGTTTAGTAACTTTTGTTTAAAACTTGAAAGTACTAATAACATAATCTTTCTAATTATATGCTTAAGAATTTGTCCTAGAGATATTTATCTTGGTAATAAATAAATTCTTACTGATCTGACTAACTCGTTATATTATTATTATTTCTTTCAGATCTACAGAACTCGAAGAATTAATAGATTTTCCCTCTAATATCAGTTTAAGGTTGTCCCTTGAGAGACGTTTTTTAGTGACGGAACTTAATTCCACGAATTATTTTGACAAACAAAATGATCTCCCAAACATTACGTTCAGCAAACTGCTCAAACTACGGCGTATGGTTGCATTTTTATAACTGCCCGTTTAACGACACAAAATGCGCTTTCTACAATTGCAGCAACAGATTTTTGACTACTTCCGACCCCACATTGATCACTTCAAATTTATCAGATAGTCAAGAAATCGAGAACGTGGTAGATAAAGAACTCGAAGTATTCCGAGAGCAGAGTCGTTTCTGGGTTCAGCGCGTTCTTGTTCCTATGATACTAATCATTGGATTAATCGGAAATACAGTGACAATAGTAATAATGACCAGAAGACGTATGCGTTCATCTACCAACAGTTATTTGGCAGCTTTGGCTATTTTTGACATGCTTTACCTCATTTGTGTTTTCGTTCTTTCTTTAGCACATTATCCGGGGATACAGGATCCTCATTATTTTATCTACTGGCATATTCGACCATTCGCAATTATGTTGACAGATGCTTGTAGCAATACATCAGTTTGGTTAACGGTGACATTTACAATAGAAAGGTATATTGCAGTCTGTCACCCGATCAGAGGTAAAGTCTTCTGCACAGAGACTAGAGCAAAGAAGGTTATTGTATTTGTGTCATTAATCTGTTTTTTCTTAACTCTACCAACACCTTTTGAGTGGACCGTCGTTGAAATCACGGACGATAAGACTAATGAAACGAAAATGACCATGAATTTCTCAGATTTCGGAAATAACAATATCTATAAAACTGTTTATTACACGATGACTGCAATTTTATTCATCTTTATTCCGCTTTTCCTTCTCTCTATATTTAATTCTTTCCTGATTAGGTCAGTACATCTTTCCAAAATACAGCGAAATACCATGACTCGACAAAGGGAAACTCGCGACTCTTTACAGCAAGAAAATAGGATTACTGTCATGTTGATCGCTGTAGTATTATTATTTTTCATCTGTCAGCTTCCAACTGCAGCAATTCTAGTATATACGTCGTTACACACAGTTTATCCTCATACCAACAAAGAGGCTCTTCTTCTTGGCCTAGGAAATATCTTCAATTTTTTGGTGTGCATCAATGCAGCCGGAAACTTTATCTTGTATTGTTTACTTAGTCAAAAATACCGACGGACATTTCTTCTAGCTTTCTGTCCATGTATAAAAAGCAAACTGGTAGGTTTACAATCTGTGTACCAGAGAACCACTTACAGTAACGCCAATGAAAGTCCACAATGGTCCAGAAACACCATGCTTCTGCGTCCCAAACTCAGCAAACTTGTGAGCAGACACAGGCCGATATTGTCTGAATCTTTCCGAGAAATTCAAATGCACAAAGAGGACTTTTTGGGCGCCTCTTGTAAAAAAATCTGGAGATCTGGAGGAAACAATTACTTAGAAGTTTTTCAACTGAAGAGTACAGAATTTCACGACTATGAAGACGAGCAACCGAAACAAGAAATGTTTTCAACAGGATTTAATGAACATTGGCAGCAGATGTCATCAAGCCAAAGCGAAAACAAAGCAAGTTCTGTTGATAGCACCACAAGGATACAACCATATAACGATTTTGTTATCACAGTCACACCAGACGGTGAGCTATCAGTAAATGTGGAGTCTTCAGTGTAGCGTATGGTTGTAGTTTCCGCTGCCAACCCTCAGAAAATGAATTGTCGATTTTTGAATTGATATAATTTTCATGCATAAAAGAATGAATATGGCCAAAGGCTGAGCAAGCATAAAATTTTGTTTTGTGATGTATATCCAGAGGTAAAATTATATGGTGTTTCATCAAAATGTGCACAAACTGTGCATTATAATTTATAAGTAAGAGGAAGACTTGGAGGTGAGACTTCATCGGATGATTAATACAAAAGTTAGCATGGTGGCTATAACCGTATACATATCAGTTAAATTATTATAAAATTATACTTTAATTACAAGTTATGAATCTATGTATATGTGTGTAAATGAAATATGAAGTTAAGGTGCTTGTTTTGATGTAAACTAACTATACTCTGAGATGTGTATGCGATAATCTAGTGGATCGATAAAGCATGAAACTGAGGTAACAAAATACGAATCTCAAAAAAGCAACTACACATGTTTTTGACAAAAAGGTTTAATCAGATAGTGTTATTTTAACTTGTAAGGACTTTTCAAAACGACTATATATCTATTGAGGTATTTAAATTATGCTTATTATTATCTAAAAAGACTGTCTTTAGATCCTATTATGCCTTCTGCTTTAAAAGAAAAACAGAAATACTATTATATAGTATTTTTATTACGTGTATTGTAAAATACGTAAATCATAATAAGATCAAAGGTGTTAACCCACTAAAGACTGAACCTTGATCCAAACTGGATAAACACTACATTTTCATATACATTTGAAGGCATCAATAAAACATGTGGTGTGAAAAATCTCAAAGGTTTTGGACGAAAATAATCTAGTTTTTCTAACGTATGATATACCACACAGTAGTCTTTCGTAGGGTCAAAAATAGGGTTTTTGAATAAATATGTTAGAGATTTTAGGGGAAAAGGTCAGGTACATTTAAAAGCACTATCATTATTTTTTTTATTTAAAATTATATTTTTCAGCATTTGTACTATTTAGTATGTTTAATAATCCTGGATCTCACTAGTTACATCAAAGCAGATTAAACTTATTCCAGCATATCTTACTTATATTTAAGAAAATAATACGACCTATCTATATAAGAACAGGTTATACAATTTGTAACTACTTTTATATATACCTTAAGCTAACACATTAGTAATGTATATTGTATGAAACAAAGTGGTACTTGTGAGTTTTATGCATATCATTAAGATGATGTTCAGTAATGGTTAACTTCAACTTGTGTGATATTACACAAAACAGTCAATGTGAAGATCAGATATACTTGGCACAATGGCGTTGTGTTAGGTTTCTGTACGGACTTCTTGGAGCACTTAGCTTCCTCTTGTGGGACAAACAGCTCTAGCTCTTGGAATATGAGAAGCAGCTAAAAGTGAAAGAACAGTTTGTCTAGTAAACTCCAGAGGAAATATGCTATTTGCTTGCCAAGCATTTACAACAGCACCATTCACACAAAAATGCACTATTTGTCAGTACTAGTTTTGATTGAAATCGGTACACGGTACCTCGCGCGAATTTGATCAAAAAATCAACTCCACCTATTCCTTTATTGTGCTTTGCAATAATAGAAGGTAGAATCACATCCACCATGTTTTTTTGATACTGCACTGTAATGCTTGTAAGTTGTTTTGGCAAGTACCAAATTATCAGTATAGTTGGTGGCATTAGTGATCTGGCTGTTGTCATGCTACCTAACTATGGTCATTCCATTGGCTTTTTCTTTCAGAACACCAGGATAACTCCCTTTTCTTTCTTAGTCCCTTCATTTGGAGCATTCTTTAGACGATCAGATAGTATAGTTCCAGTACGTTTGATACTGTTAGATTGTCGTTGTTGTTGTAGGGGCAGCGATGTAAAGAAATTTTCAGTAAATCCTAGCTATCTGGTGAAACAAAGCCAAAAACTACATTTTGGATAACTGAGCTTTCAAGTGCGACACCGTCTTTTTTCTGCTCTTTGCCTTCATACAACTTCAACTTCATCTAATAACCTCCTGGAGTACAGAGATGCCATAACTTAAATCCAAACTTTATTGACTTTCCTCAAATAAATTGCTTCAAAATGTGGTGACCAAACAATGTTCTGTAGCTTCTCCCAAGCTCAAAGTGTTTGGGATGGGATGACAAAAGGATGGGAACTTGTTACTTAGATATTCTAACAAAGGTCTTACGTTGCTTGTTCTATCGTTGGGAACAAAGAAGGCGTTATCTTTAAAATGTAGATATTTTAAGATTCTTGAGGATCTATCTCTAGACATAACATTAAGAACTGCAGAAATTTTCGCGTCAGACTCAAGTGCGCAGTATAAGGTTTTGTTTGGCAGTTGTAAATAGCCAGATAAGAATAGAATCTCAAGGACTTTATACAGATATTTCACAGTCCTACTGAATATCGGATCCGAACTCTATTGGGCATAATGAACAGTGGAAAAATGTCATCTGATGAAAGTTTTTGAATTGCATCATGTGGAGTTTTTTTGTGAATTTTCTGTCTGTGCCACACAAAACCAGGTTTTGTTGCATGAAAAGATGCTGTTTAACAGTCTTTCTTGAAGGCTCTGCAGCAAATAGATGTAGGAGACCCTGGAACACTGGTGTCTTGTTGAACAGGAACCCGAGAGCTGGTGACAGAAATGGAAGATAAAGAACTTAGAAACATCTAATAATTAATATTGTATTATAGATCTATATTATATCATTAAGAAACTAAAACATTAAAAAAATGAAAATTAAGAAAGTGTCCAATAATGATACTTTCAAAAGTAGTTAGAACTTGCCTAACTTACAAAATCCATGTCCTTTCATCTGCAAAGTAATTTCTGCAGTGCACGTTGGGCAAGAGTTTTCTTTCCAATACAGTGGGAGTTGTTTTCTGGAATATCTAAGACCTCGTGTAGTGCATCATCTATATTAGAGTCCAGTTGCCAAGTAGAAGGTACAAGTATAACACCAATAGTGTTAATACTATCACCAATATTAGAGCAATATTGGTTGGCAAACTCCAAAAGTAATTGAGTGTCTCCTAGTGTTCCAAAATATTCTCCTGGAAAATATGAAGCCATATTAGATAACATGTCTATCAAACCACCTAAGGCTGTTATAAAGGTAATAGTACAAAAGTAATCAGTAGATATGAAAAATGCAGCAACATAAGTCAAGGTGCTTGAAAAGTTAGGCCAATTGTGCATCTGCGAATGTCTATCGTGTGAAATTTCATATGACCCTTTTAAAGTTATTTTATCTCAACAACAAATAAATTAGGAGACACCACATATTTGCTGAAGTGTCCCACAAGTCTGATTATTATACCAAGAAAATTTAGTTTTAACATTTCATATAGCTATAACATTAGTTATAAAATATTACCTTCGGTCCAAAAGGAAATATTTCCTGGATGTCATCTTCATCAAATTCCCTTGATGATGTAAAATAAAAGACTACATACATTCTCTAAGAGTAAAATAACATTAAACGCTCTATATCACCTTTACACTAAAAATATTTTTCACAAATCATAAAATATAAGTATGGGAGGACCTCAAACTTGGTATATTTTATGTATGATATATCATACGACAGTCCCTCGTGAGTTAATAGCGTGTAGAAATATATTGCTTATATGTCCGTAGAAATTGCAGTACATTTAAATTTAGAAAATTATCATGTAATTATATTTCAGCTTTCATGTTATTGCATATTGGCTAAACATAAGGAATATTAACAAACGAACACACCCACATAGTAGATGCCGTAATCCCATTTGAACGCTCTCTACTTATATTTAATCAACAAGTCATAGCATACTCCACCCATGATAAATAAAGATTGGTGTTTTGTAAAAAGAGAGAATCTGCGAAAACAATTACCAGTGGTAAAAGTCGTCTACGTCGCGTTTTATTATATTTTAGCTGATCTGCCTTTCAACGGACGGGTGAGAAATAGGGGGTGCAGAACCTATCTGTATGTCTTTCAGCATCAATTTGTTTTTGTTTTTTTGCTTTTGTTTCTTCAGGTAGCTTTGTTTGACTGTATCAATGGTTCAATTATCCTAATTTTTCTAAACGTTCTTGATTTTGTCATGCCATTAATCTTTTTGTTCTTTCTGCTGCTAAGGTTCGTTTTCTTTCTTTCTCCAGTTGTCGGCTATTTCCAGTTTTATTCAAAATTTTAGTTTATAATTTATTTCATAGATGGTGTTAAATTTGTTCAATTGAAATGTAAAGCTTAGAAGGTTTGATACTGTAAACATGTCATCTTTTAATTCGAATGTTAACCAATGTTAATTTCAAATCTCTGATTTTATCTATAATGATATGAAAAGAATTTGCTGTAAATATCAAATATATAAAAATAAAAAGAGATGAACATAAAATTCTAACTCTCTTGGGATTCGAACGCGAAATTGTTACACGATAATCAAGCACTATAAACAGTGAGCAACTTTAA